AGAAGTTCAGTCACAAAATGAATTAATGCATTGTTTTTTTAACAAGCATCATCCGCATGGAAGCACATCCTCTGGAATGGTGGCCTAAGCATGAAGGGACATATGAATGTTTAGCATAACTAGCACGTAAATACCTTGCAATGCCGGCTATGAAAGTGCCATGCAAACACCTGTTCTCACTTTCAGGTGGTATTGTAAACAAGAAGCAGGCAGCATCATCTCCTGTAAATGTAAACAAACTTGTTTCTCTTAGCATTTGGCAGAACAAGAAGTAGGACTGAGTGGACTTGTAGGCTCTAAAGTTTTACATTGTTTTGTTTTTGAGGGTAGTTATGTAACAAAAACAAATCTACATTTCTAAGTTGTACTTTCATGATAAAGAGATTGCACGATAGTACTTGTATGAGGTGAACTGAAAAATATTATTTCTTTTATCATTTTTACAGTGCAAATATTTGTAATAAAAATATAAAGTGAGCACTGTACACTTTGTATTCTGTGTTGTAACTGAAATCAATATATTTTAAAATGTACAAAAACATCAAAAATATTCAATACATTTCAATTGGTATTCTATTGTTTAACAGTGTGATTAAAATGGTAATTAATTTTTTAAATTGTGATTTTTTTTTTTTTTAGGTAATCACGTGAGTTAACTGCGATTAATCAGCAGGCCTACTTACAACAAGTGCCAACTATCACACTAGAAACTAGAAAGTTTCTCAAAAATGGTGACTGAACAAAAATGCACCCCCCCCCCAAATCTCATCATGTGACCTCAGAACTAGTATAAACTTTTTTCTAAGCTTTAAGGAAGAAGTGACTCACTCCATTTATATTGCCTTTTTCCACGCTCAGGCCCCAATGTGCTTATATTGCACTGTCTTGGTACTCTAGTATAGATGTCATTAGTAACTACATCCTATCCACATAACTATGGTTCTCTGCCTGGTCTGTCTCTGTGTCTGATACACACTCAACCCTGTCGTAAGCAGGGTGTGAATGAGCTCTCCCCTGACATCTATTGACACACTGGGGGAAAAAGACTTCAGGAGCAGACTTTATATGCATAGACACCTACCCTGCCCAGGTATTCAGCAGACAGAGTTGCTTTGCCAAAATGATCAATTTTGGCTGCTTTGGGGTTATAATTCACTTTTGAATGCAGGGGCAATGAAATGCTGTTATCCTTAGTGTATGAGTAAAAGGCAGCAGAACTGTACTTAGTATACCCTGAGCGAGGGTGTCATTCTAAACTGAAGCTTACCTGCTAAGCAGGGGGTAGGGATAGCAGCAGCAAGCCAGTTGCAGAAGTAGTAAAGGAGGCATTGCTTGATTCTTACCGTTAGGGCAGGGGTGGCCAGCTTGAGCCTGAGAAGGAGCCAGAATTTACCAATGTACATTGCCAAAGAGCCACAGTAATAGGTCAGCAGCAACCCATCAGCTCCCCCGCTTCCCTCCTCCCAGCACCTCCCACCCACTGGCAGCCTCCCCCCACATCAGTGCCTCCCCCTTCCTCCCCGCACCTCCCAATCAGCTGTTTCCTGGCATGTAGGAGGCTCTGGGGATGGGGAGGAGCGAGTGCACGGCAGGCTCGGGGGAGGCGGGGCGGAAAGGGTGGGAGTGGGAGCAGTGCCTGTGGCAGAGGCAGGGGCTGAGCAGTGAGCACCCCTCGGCACATTGGAAAGTTGGCGCCTGTAGCTCCAGCCCCAGAGTCGATGCCAACACAAGGAGCCGCATATTAACTTCTGAAGAGCCGCATGTGGCTCCGGAGCCACAGGTGGGCCACCCCTGTTTTAGGGGTAGGAGGTGGACCAGTATGAATACATCTCTGAACTCTGGGTCTTTGCTGGTCAACAATAACCAACTGAGAGTATGGTGCAGCTGAGGGAAAGGGTAATGGTGTGTTAAAGGGATATTTGTGTGTTGGACACTGCCCATGCTTTTGAACTGTGGTTGTGGTGTGTTCCCAAATTAATGTTAGATTCCCTCGCCCTTTTAATAAGTTTTCTCTTATTATGCAGAGAGTTAGTACTGGCTAGTGGGGAAGTATTGTCTTTTATAGGCACCTGGGGTGATAGTTAAATTTTCCCTGATTAGTGGGTGAGGGCTCGAGCTGGTTCTGTTATGTATTATTAAGAGGAACTTAGATACTGAACCTGGTCCTTGTTGTTGCTGACTCCTCCTGGCTAAAGTGTTACACTATGAAGGGTTTAATATTCTACTTAAAGTAGCCCAAATAAAGCCATGTCCCTAATACAGCAAAAGCTTTGGGCCACATTCTACACCAACATACATCCTTACTGGTTTCAAGAGCAATGGGGCATAATTCAGAGTAAAACTTGTTTCTTGTTTCTTCAGTAGTAAGTGATGCAGCAAACCGTGCTTTATTAAACTGAGGCCTGGAAGTTACAGCCAATAGAAAGGCTAAAGATTGCTGGGGAACAGAATAGATCCCTCGAGAAGGGCTCTGCCTAGCAAAAGTGTGGGGTGGGGCTGGAGGGAGAGAGGGACGAGGGAGGAGGGGAATCAAAACCAGATCCTTCCTGAGGCTTACCAAATTTAGTTAATTTTTAAAAAACTAAATTTGCATATTTAAGCTTTGTAACGTTGAGGGTGTAGAAGTACTAAAAGATCTTGACAAAAGCTATGAGTATCTTCAACCCAGCAGAGACCATGAAGTAACAATACATAGCATACTTATGTTGCTTTACAAGCTGTAATTAATCTCTGTGTAAACACTGAGGAGGAAGTCAGCCTACGGAGATTAAACGCCTGAGCTGAAATCCTGCCCCCACTGAAGTCAATGACAAAACTCCCTTGGACTTCAGTTGGCCAGGAATTCACCTTTCATTTTCAGAGGTGCTGAGTTCCCACAGCCTCTGAATCAGTGCCAAAGTTTTCAGAAGTTGCTACTAGTTTGGCGTGTCTAAGCATTTGGGTGCCCAAACTGAGACAGATAAGTCCGACTTTTCGTGGCGCTGAGCAACTCCAGCTGAAGCCAGTGGGAGCTCACCACCTCTAAAGAAGGTCTCAAACTAGACACCAAATACAGGAGGCACCCAAAAGCAGTGACAACTTTTACAAATGCAGGCCTAAGTGACATGCTCAAGGTTACAAGGAGTCTGTGGCTGAGCTAGGCTAGGAAACTTGGAGTCCTAAATTCCAGCTCTGTGCTTAGTCCACAAGACAAAGTTGCCCCCTATTTCATAGTACTCAGTTCTCACAAGAAAGCTTATTCTGATGATGTCGTCCAATTTCTAGTCCAAAAACCACAAACACGTTGCAGACATGAATCTAAACTCTGAATTACCACCCCACCCTCAAACACCAATTCTTTTCATGTTTGCCTGGGACTAACGTTAATCTATACAACCTGTATTCCTCCAGGTTCCCCTTCACTTCAAGGTCTGCTTGCCACATATGCCCAGCTGCATGTGAGCTGTTGCTAATCCTCCCACCAGGTTGTTTATCTAGAGCATTTCATCAGAGATAAACAGCCCATAGCATAATTAATTATCAGTTTTAGCAGCTAGCAGTACCAACATAGAACATGCAGTAAATGATAGCACTTGTTGTACACATACATATCAGGCATCACTCCCTGCTTAGTGACAGGTTTCAGAGGAACAGCCGTGTTAGTCTGTATTCGCAAAAAGAAAAGGAGTACTTGTGGCACCTTAGAGACTAACCAATTTATTTGAGCATGAGCTTTCGTGAGCCACAGCTCACTTCATCAGATGTGTACCGTGGAAACTGCAGCAGACTTTATATACACACAGAGAATATGAAACAATACCTCCTCCCACCCCACTGTCCTGCTGGTAATAGCTTATCTAAAGTGATCAACAGGTGGGCCATTTCCAGCACAAATCCAGGTTTTCTCACCCTCCACCCCCCCACACAAATTCACTCTCCTGCTGGTCACTTTAGATAAGCTATTACCAGCAGGACAGTGGGGTGGGAGGAGGTATTGTTTCATATTCTCTGTGTGTATATAAAGTCTGCTGCAGTTTCCACGGTACACATCTGATGAAGTGAGCTGTGGCTCACGAAAGCTCATGCTCAAATAAATTGGTTAGTCTCTAAGGTGCCACAAGTACTCCCTGCTTAGACTTGTTCATACTGCAGAGGCAGACCATTCATCTGCCTTTGGGAAAGGAAGTTCCTAGCAGTTCAACAACAGTGACCCATCTCTCAAGACAAAATATAAAAGATAGGTGTCTGCAGTGCAGGGCTTCAGTGAGAGGGAGGCTTGATGTAGGAGAGAAATAAAAGGGATCCATACTGTTTGCTGTAGGTAGGTCAGCCTGAGAAAGTGACAGCAAAGAAATGCTACCCCCCCAACAAAAAAACCTCCACAACCAACAAACAAACAGATCCTACGTGATACCCAGAATACTGAAAATGTGATAGGGAAGGCACCAGGCTTCCACAGCATGCAGGAAGGGATCACTGAATTCTTGAAATCAAGAGCTATAAGTCATCACAGCTTCCTTTCTCCTCCACAGCTCAGTTAGCTGTTCTCATGTTTCTGTGCTTCCCTTTTACCCGATGCCAGTGTCAGTGAATGCTGAGATGTCAAACACTTAATCTGATCCAAATCAGTCATCTTCTGAGAAACATTGGGGGTGCCAAAGCACATCAATGTGGATGTACATTAGGGTAATAATGAAATCATGTAAGATTATTTCAACACTTAATTAAAAGACCAGTGCAAGTCTATGTGTCCTTGTAAAGTATAATATCTCTGTCCGAATTATTATTAGCAATTCACAGGAGACAGTTGTCACCTGGCTGACAGTTGTCACCAAAACAATAGTTTTTTCCATCAGCTGTTAGCTACACAGTATCTAATGTATTGTATTAAGTTTAGCTGGTTTCTGATTATTTTTAATAGCCTATTAACATTAACAAACTCTACCAATCAATCTTTATACAATGATGAACGTCCTTATATTCAAACTCACTTTAGGAACAGGTTTAGCCACAGTACTCACTTTTGCCTGGTAATGAAGTCTGGGTTGATCCATGTCAGTTCGGGAACACTTCCTGAACAAGGATATGAAAATCCAGCATTGGTAACACAGTTAAACAACTTCAATCAATCCAGAGAAAGAAAAATCCCCCACTCTCAAATACAAAACAAGATTCAGAAAAATCTCTAATGTTTACAGCGTTGACTCCCAAGATATTCAGTCTGACGGCTCTGAGCAATATAACTATGTACTTGTACATTCTCAGCCCATTAGAGGAGGAGTCAGTGTTGCAACATTTATGTTCCTTGCTCCAGGCAAAACAGTGATTTTCTTCAGTGTGCAAAATGTCTGGAGCATGACAGTTTTACAAGGTTAGAGAGGTACTTTGGAGTATAGAAATCCAGCAATTAATTTGTTTTTAAAATCACCTTTATCAGCTAGAAATTACTATGCCTGCCCTAAAGTGTATAACACATTTTTTAAAGAAGTAAATCCAATATTCTTTCTACATAAAGTACTTCAAAAGTTCTTTCTATTCCAAAGTGTCAACTCCTTTTTATTTTACAGTGACATGAAACAGCACAAATTTACAGTAATTTGGGTCCTGTTGCATTGATGAGACATCTGAGACAGAAATGAGAATCTTTCCCTTAGATTTGTCAGAAATCCTATGAGCTGAAAAACTTCAGTTTACAGGCTCAAGCTTTGCATTACTTGTGTAGAACTGGATGGCTAGTGAGAAATTTGCAAACATTTTTGCAAATTCTGACCCATCTTTTCATTCAGCTATATTTGCACCCTCTCTGCCTGACTGAAGTTTTGTTCGTGCCATTGTGCGTGACAGGTAAAGTTTGGGTTTGCAGTTTAAATTTTTTAGTTAAAACTTACCATGAAATGAGCTGAGTGAAAGTTCTGTAGATCCAATCATGGACCAGAACTAATACCATATGATTCAGGTGATCCATTATAAAGCTTGAGCAACTTCAAATACCAAATAATCACATGAATACAGTGAAAAATCCATAGGCAAACAATTTCAAGTCATGAACACAAATGTTGCAAGTCATGATCAACTCACAAACAGAAAGAGACTAAACTTGTTAACTAAAAATATCCACAAGAAATAATTCAACCAGCTCTACCAGCATGTCTGCAAATTTCCTTCAGTGGCTCCTTATCTAGAAGTTTGAACTCAAGTGGTCCTAATAGATTGCGGATGGATCATGTGAGAATATGCATCTTCTCAGCAACAAGAAAAGGAAAGTGAAGGACAACATAACAGATCCTTAATCAGCTGGAACAAAGATGCACTGGACTACAACCAGCTGCTTTACGGCTGCAGCTGCTTGTCTCTGCCAAATTTAGAGGACTAGCGCCAGAAAAGCAAGCAGAGAAAAGGAGAGAAATTGTGTTCAAGGGAGAGTTAGTAAGAACCAGGAAGGTGCTCCTGGGAAAAGGGCTGCTTCGGTGTTATGTGGTAGATTGGTGATATGCACATCTGTAGGGGGATTTGTAGAAGGTGGAGTATATCTCTGTGGAATATAAGAGAATACAACTCTAAGGACCTCTTGGTTGGGAAAGATGCAAGGTCAGATCCTACTCACTTGAAAAGTCTAGATGAAATCAGTGAGAATCCTCAGACAAGAAAGGATTACTCAGCTGAAGACAGGATGAAGATGAGAATTAAATAACTGTTACTTAGCATATACCAAGTCAGTGAGAACTTTAATATTAAAGAGGGTAGTGAAATATTTTACTTAACATAAGGAATGAAAGTGAAGGAAAAAAAATATTCAGAATTTCTGCTACAGATCCCCAGGATGCAGACAGAACAGTTACTGAACCAACTCTCCAGGTATCCAAAGCCTTAGGACATTGCATATATGAGGGATTCTAACCACAATGAAATGTGTTGTTTAATAAATTGAGCCTAGCCTGCATCAGAAATGTTTCTGAGTTACCTACTTCATGATGCATAATGTAGAAAATCCAGCCAGAGAGGAATCCATCTTGAATCATCGTTTTGTTAATAAAGAAGTGTGATTGATTCTAGGCTTCTTTGTTATTCTTAGTTATGACAAGCTACTTAAATTCAGCATAGTAATAATATATAATTTTCATAGGCTACAGTGGCACAAGGGTGTTAGATTTCAGGAGAGCAAGATTTAGTAAATTAAGATATCAAGAGCCCAGTTCTCCTCTCACCTGCACAACTTTTCCACCACTGCAACACTTAGTTACTCCTGATTTACAATAGTGTAACAGAGAAGAATCAGGCCCTTAGTTAGTAGGGTAGGGTGCATTGGGAGGAATTACTAGTGTTGAAGAAGGCTGAGAAACCTAAAAAGGATCACTAATATCAAAAGGCACAGCAGACTAGAGTTCCAACATAAAAAAGAATACAAGGAATAAGAAGCTGCCGATTTGGTTTCATGAACGTTAAAAAGAAAAGAAAAAAAAAGACCAGTGTAAACAGTGCAATCTGTCTCAGCCTGCCTTAACCTTTGTTAGTGCTGGGACTGGGTAGACACAAGAAGTCATGGATGTATTGGCCTCAAGAGTTAGACTGTACAGTCCTAAAACAATGGTCTATCACAAATGAGATTGAAGGGTCCAACCCTGCAAGATGTTGAGCTCCTCCTAAGAGATGCTGAGCCCTTTTAACTGACTTCAGCGGGAGTTGTATGTTCAGCAGTGCTCAGGACTGGGCCGGATTCAGATTTTCTCTGGCAACATGAGGTGGACCAATGGAAAGAGGTAACTGGAAGGAAGCCATTTTACCCAGTCTCACTCTCACAGTTTTGTTCTCTTTGTCTTTACAGGATAGTAAGCAGGATCTTTGGGGATGAGACACTGATGGATGAACCCCTCTCCTATTGCCTCTGAACTTAGTCCAAGTTTGTAGCTTACCCTTCAAACTTAAGCAGGACAGGAAGTGAAATGGGCAGCTGGCCAACAAAGATGGGCCCAGAAAGCAAAGGGAAGAGAAGCAAGAGAAAAAGCATTTAACCCTGCAAAAAGGCCAAGCCAGGGACGAGACCAAGTGTTAGCAGGGCAAATTGAAATGCCCAAGAGCTTAGAATGAGGCAGCCAGTCAGTAAAGTAAAAGAAAACCTAACAAGTACAGGTAGAAAGTGACTGTAGTGGTGTGTGGTGGTGGTATGACCATAATGATCACACTCAGGCTTAGACAGAATTCTTGGATGCCAGTGGAGATGAGCCCGGCCAACAGTAGTTCTTGCCGCTAGTGGGCCTTGGCGTGACTGAGGTAGCTGTGACCATGGAAGGCCAAGATCTATATAATGTTGGGTTGCCAACCTTCTGATGTCTGAAAACCAGACACCACTGCCCAACCTCTTCCCCAAGGCCATGCCCCATGCCCCAGCTCTTCCCCCAAGGTCCTGCCCCCTGCTGGCTCCCCCACTCCCAGGAAGCTGGTGTGATAGAGCAAGATGGTGCTGATTCATAAGACTTAGAACAGCATGAGAGGTTTAAAAGAAGTATTTGTTCTTTGCCTTTTAGAATTTTTTTCCTCATACTTGGTTCCTTCCTACAACAAAATTCTCCACAGAAAAATCATGTAGAAAAAACCTTTAGCCTTAGGAGTGTTCATTAAATGCCTTACCTGTTCTGTAGGTAGGTTTTCCCCACACATCGACTCAGGGACTTTTTTTTATTTTTAAAAAAGAGAAAACTGATTGCACACGCAAACAAAGCAAACCTAATGAGCAGATTCAGCATGGTATTATACAAATGCATGTTGACATTTACCCAATGTGCATCTATTTGCAATTGTGTCCTAATACTTAGGGCTCATCTATATTAGAAAAGTTGTGCAGTCTTAGCTAAACTAATTTGAAGTCTGTGAAATTGAATAGGTGATACCCCTTAATGTAGATGCACTTTAACCCTCACTTAAATCAGTTTAGTTTAATTTAGTAATTTACCAGTACACGCTAAACAAGGATTAAATGGGTTTAACAGGTTTAAGTGCATCTACATTAAGTGAGAAGTACCACCATGACTAATATCCAAAAAAACAAAGTTTAAACTCTTCCTATAACTTGGTTAAAATCCAACCCACCTCTTTTCTATGTGTTATTAGATACCAAAGAGTATAGGAATGTGAGTTTTTTCTTGGGGTGAGGGCAAATGAGAGGTTCCACAAACTTAGAAAAGGAAAGTTTCAGCTATACAAACAAGAATGCCTTGTAAAAAACACAGTATCCTAAAATAATGCCAAATAAACCTGGCAGCATATGTATTTCTGCTATAAAATGCAGCAACCCATTTGCCAGACTGCTGCTAGTTACCTGCCCCATTTTCCATAGTCCTAATAATTTTCTTTCTGTTTTAGAATCTCTAAATTTGGTACAAATTTTATGGCTTCTGGCATATTGTGCACAGTAAGATTTGTTTTGTAGAAATTACATCTTTTTAAGTGTCTAAATCATTCTTTGAAAAGCTGGCAAATGATTTTTGGCTGGTTAAGAAAGTATTGTATTTTAAATCAAACTTATGTTTTAAATTGTTACTAGAATAAGCATCTGAGAATATTGTTTGTATAGAAATGCATTAATCCACACTCTTGGTAAATCACAAAATAGTAGCCTTGCCCTACTTCCCAAAGATTGGAGGGGGGGCAGTAACTGGCATTGAAGGATGCTGGGACTGTAGGGGCACTAACTGGCATTGAGGAGGAACACTGTGTGGGGGTCACTAGGATTTTGGGGAGAACAGTAAGTGTCATTGAGGGATGTTGAGGGTGTGGAGGGAGCAGTAACTGGCACTGATGGGGTGTGGTGGAAGGACTAACTGGAATTGATGGGGCATGGTGTGGGTGGGGGCAGTAACTGGCAGAGAGGGAGCACTGGAGTTGGGGGACCGCTGACTGGCAGCTTGGGAGGAGTTGGGGTAATGGGCAGTGAGGGGGGGTGCACGCTGTGTGCGTGTATGAGAGGCAATAAGGGGCAGTGAGGGGGCATGCTCTGTTTGCAGCACGGGGGTGTGTGTGTCACTCACCGGAGAGAGGAAATAGAGGCACAGTGGGGGGCAAGGGGAGACAGGAGCCCA